CCAGTAAAGGATAAAACATCAGTGCCGGAGGCAGGGGATAAACGCTGCTGCCAGGCTTCTGCCCAGCCCCCCCCACGGCCCCGGCTTTATTTCCTCCTTAATCGCCATCCCTCGGCTCGTTTAGAATGCGACTGCTCACGCCTCCCGCGCAGGAGCATCCCAACTTTCTTCAGCTCCTGCGCCACACGCCAGGCAGGGAAATCGTCTCAGCGGGCCCGGGAGATGCTTAAGGGTTGTACAGATGCCAAGGCGTGCAGGCGAGCGCTAACAGGGCTTTTTAAAAGCAAATAAGACCGAGAGGAGTTTACAGCTAGAAGCCGGTTTTAATAAGGGTCATAAAACCCACACGGTTTGGAAAATTGGATCATGGCTTTCCGCAAAGGCACGCTGAGAACGGCAGCTGGCCGTACGCCTCCGCCTGCGCCCGCTCCTTCAGGGCGTTTGCAGCGAGGACCGGGATTTCCGACGGCTTTACAGCCTGTGCTCCGAGACCCCAGACTCAGCTCAACACAGCAATTACCACGCGTTGCCCGGAGAGGCGAGGCTGGAGGAACAGTTCCAAATATCATCCACAAAAAGAGCTGAGTTTGAATTTGGGGCATTGCTCAAGGCAGAAACTTGGGGGGGTTCTGAGCACAGGTCCCCCAAAATCTCCCTTTTCCCCATTAACCTCCGCTGTATCTGCCACTTCTGACAGGGAATAATCCACACCTTTCCCAAATCACAAGTCATCTCTCGCTGGCTGAAGGACCTGTGAACACTGCCTTTGGACAGCACATAGCCATGAAATCCAGCTGTGGAAAGGGCTGCTGCTCCCACCAATGCTTAGAAACCTTTTGGGCCTGACCTTGGCCACAGGGGAGGAGAAAAAGCATTTTGTGCCCACCCCGCTCCCTCCGAACGGGACACGTGAGGCTGAGTTTCCCCCATCTGAACCAAAAGCACCACTAACGCCTGCCCACTGTGCCCTTCCCTCACTGAGGCCGGGAGCACCGGTAATCCGGCACATTTAGCATAATTTATCTGTGATGCTCAATTAAGAAACTAATCACTGGGGCAGGAGGGCAGCTCTGGGGAGGGTCTCTGCCACCCCGGAGCCCCGGGTCAATGCAGGAGCACTGGGACAGTTTGGACCAGGCAACCCCCCCTCAGCTCCTTCCCCACCTACAGACCCAGAGTAACCCACACTCAAAGGGCAGGAATTTGCCCTTTGGATGTTTCACAATGTCCTGGATCGATAAAGCCACGTGGGGCCAGCCAGAGGTGACATGGCGATGCCACAGCCCAGGGCATCAGCATCCCCCGGGGCCCCAGCCCAGCATGAACCAGTAATTCCCTATTTCTGATGCCGAAGGGGTCACACTGGATGGATCCAGGGCCAGCCCCCCTTCCCCACCAGGCTGGATCTGCTACACAGGGATGCGCCGTGGCCATCCCGACGCCGGCCCCACGGTGCAGCAGCCCCACAGGGACACTTCTCCAGTGGGTCTGAGGATGTCCCTGCACTTGGGGCAGGAGAGCAGGGTTCCTGATGCCCACGGGAGGGCAAACACCACGGGCTGCCCGCTGCAAGCCTCACCCTGCCACAGCCCAGGACCAGGGCAGAGCATCCCTGTGCCTCAGGACACATTTGCAATGTGGAGCCTTACAAATCCCAGTTGTGGGGCTAGGGGGGTCCAGCCCTGGTGGGGGGACAGCACAAACCAGGGAGAGAAACCCTGGGCTCAGCGCAAAGCCGAGCAAAGCCCAGAGCCAGCATTGACTCCCACACTGGTCCCAGTTGCCTTTTCTGCTGCCAGCTCCCCACTGTGACGCTGGGCTGGACTTTGTCATCGATCTTGCAGGTCTGAGACAGGAGAGCACACCGGGAAAGCCAGGGACGTTGCCCCGGAGGGGGCTGGAACCAGCCACGTGAGCATCCCACCCGCTGGCAGCGGCTCGGTGGGCTGAGTTCACCCTCCCTAGCCAGGGAAAGTCTCCCAAGCCCTGGAGAGCTGCCTGCCTCCGGGGAGCGAGTCTCCTGCTCAGCAATGCAATAGCAATGGCCAGGTCTGGGGGCACCTCCGGCACCCCGATGCCGTACCCCACAGGGGACGAGGGTCTTTCCCCCAGCCCTTCCTCGGGCACCGCGGGGTACTGGTATGACTTGCTCCAGCAACAAAACCCGGTAATAAAGAAGAGCCACTTCAAAGTGTTAAGGCTGAATTTGCCAAATCATTGTTTCTAGAAGGGACGGATTTACCCCAAAGTCAGCCAAAGCGCAGGCAGCAGTGACACAGCCCCCTCCCACGATCAACCCTCTTCCGGAGCCCCCGACCACACATTTGGGG